GATTTCAGAGGCCCCGACAACATCTCTAATAGAAACCTTTACTATCTGCCTCGCATTGACGAATAGGCCGACCAACCTCAAGAAACGAGGTACCCTTCAGGAATTGGGCCTGAGATCTGAATATCACCAGTCACGAGTATGGAAGAAGGATATCCGAGAACAATCCTCCAATTTCGATGAAGGGTGTTGAAAGTTCGTTGTGATAACCCTCGGATAGGACCAGACCCACTCGTTGGATTCATGAACGTAATAAATAGGATATACCCTTCTCGCTAGGATCAGTTCATCATCGTCATTACAAATGACTTACTTATCTACCCTCGTAGTAAGAAGGAAACCAAGGAGAGCAGCTACAACAAACCACGGAAGAAATACGATCAGAGAAGTATTACCCGAAGTTCTCTAGATACGAGTTTTGGAATTGAGGAGTTCAATTCTGAAGACACATCGTTACCAAGGTGGAAATTCATAAGGACCCTTTCAATTGATCAAAACCGTTGAGAAACAGTCAGCATCGAAGGCGTTAGCAGAAATACGCCAAGATTCTGGGTCTCGCTGACCTACCGTCTTAACTCCTTCGGAACCTCTCGAAAAATACGAACCCCCTCCCAACTTTGACCCTAAAGGGAGCAACCCTTGACAGGAAGAGAAACAAGAAGAAGAAACCTCTAGAACTCCGGTATGACCGACCGAATTCCTCTAGAAACACTCACCCTGGGAAGGCTTAGTACGCTTCGGAAAGCATGGAAAGTGAATACCCCAAATAATTGTGTCTTTCGAGATTCTTGTCAGAATCAGCCCTGTAACTCGCTACTTCAATCTACTCCCGCGAGCTTGGTAAAGTACACCCTACCCAACACGTCCCAAATTTACAAGAAGAATCTATCCGATGAGACTCTTGCAATTCCCCTCGACGAGATCGAGTTCGACAAGAGCCTCACCTTCTTAGAAGAACCATGGTGACTTGATCGAAGTCAAGCGGATGAAACAACGCCACTTCCCATTAGTGAAAGTTCGTTGGAATACTAACCAAGGACCTAGAGTCACATGGGAGCGTGTGAGTCAGTCGATTAGGAAGTATCCTCACTTCTCGGCTTGATTATTCATGCCTACTCCTCGCCTAAATTCAAATTTCGGGACGAAATTCCCTCTAACGGGGGGATGATGTAACAACCGTCAAATTTCGATCAAGTCAAAGTCAACTAAAGTCAGCAAGTCAAACCGTTTGACTCAATTTGCCCATGAGTACTAAAATTCACACTATGAAACTTCTACATAACTTCTATTCTAATGAGAAATCATAAAGCAAAAAGTGCGAACACCTATACCTCCTAACCTAAAAACTGTGGTACGTGGCGAGCCAAACCGATAAAACAATGTTGCATACTCATCGGGAGTGTGTAAGATCCTTAAACAAGGCTTAACAGGGTTTACGAACCATGCATTGCGATGCCGGACACTCACAGTTGTCACACATGGAACCTCTCCCAATCGTTTTCACTCTATCTCTCTCTATGTCAAATCTCTCCAAGTATGTGAAATCTCTCTCAAATATCTCTCTGTATTAGAAATCTCTCCAAGAATGTCAAATCTCTCCCAAATCCCTCTAAGCATGTGAAATCTCTCTCAAATATCTCTCTATATGAGAAATCTCTCCAAGAATGTCAAATCTCTCCCAAATCTCTCCAAGTATGTGAAATCTCTCTCTAATATCTCTCTGTATGAGAAATCTCTCCAAGAATGTCAAATCTCTCCCAAATCTCTCCAAGTATGTGAAAACTCTCGCAAATATCTCTCTGTATGAGAAATCTCTCCAAGAATGTCAAATCTCTCCCAAATCTCTCCAAGTGTGAAAAATCTCTCCCAAATCTCTCTCAAAAGTTTCCCGTAACTTTTTGGAATCATTCGGGTCATTCCGGCCCTTAACCGGGTCAAAAACGGCTTAAAACGGGGTAAAAACGAGAAAAATAGGCTTTAGGAACCGAAACCAAGAAGAGAGGCCTCTTAGGACCAGAACCGAGCCTCTCATGGCTGAGGCATGCGAGACCGAGCCTCGGTCTCTGCCTCTCTCGGTCTCTCTTCCGGTCGCTCGGTCTCTGCCTCTCTCTGTTCCCTTCTCTCGCTCGGTCTCTGCCTCTCTCTGTTCCCTTCTCTCGCTCGGTCTCTGCCCCTCTCTGTCGCTTCTCTCGCTCTGTCTCGCGCCTCTCTGTCCCTTCCCACCTCTCGGTTCCCTCTCTCTCCTTTCTTCCCTCTCGGTTTCCACCCTCCCCCTCTCGGTTCCTCTCCTTTCTCTTCTCTCCTCTCGGTTTCTGGCTCCCTCCTCTCGGTTTCAGCATCAGAAGGCCGAACCTCGGCCAGAATCCGGAAAATTGTCACTTTTAGCCCATTTTTGATATTTTTAACATTTTAAGCCCGTTTTTCGTGATTTTAAAGCGGGATTTTCTCCAGAAATTATATTTTAACATAATAAACCCTAAATATTCATAATTTAAACATATTTTGATGAAAATCATTATTTAAATAATAAAAATCAAATGGGTGAATTATTAAAGGTGGAGTGTTGACTTTGCCTTATCCAATGTCACAAGCAACCACCCCACACCCACTCTTTGACTAACCACACCTCCCCACCTTACCTAGGTCACTTCAATGTCCCTCACACCCAATTTACACTCATTCCCACGTTTTTGAGCTGGAACAAACATCCTCTCTCCTCATTTCTCTCATTTTCTCCCATTTCACTAAGTATCAAACACCACTTTTCTCTCAAACTTTTTCTCCACCAAACTCGAGATTCAAGGCTGATTATCAAGTGTTCTTCCACTCTTAGTAAGTAAAAATTCATCCTCCTTATGATTATCTCACTTATTTCCACTCAAATCATGGATATCTTACACAAACTCCATCATATTAGCGTTAGAGCTTCGAATCTTCAAGTGATTCTTCAAGTGTTCTTGGGTTGAACACTTCTCTTCTTCAACACTTATCTACTGAAATCACTCAAGGTGAGTTCATACCCCTACATTTTTATGTTTTCTCAAGTTTTCAGGGGGGAATACAAGTTAAAACACTAAGAACATAACTAAAATTTTCTAACAGCCTTCATCAGAAAAGTTCAACTCCATTCACGGACTGTTTTGGACATCTTAAACATTTTTGTTTTCAAAACTGTACAAGGTGAAAATAGTTCAAGTTTTTAGATTTAAAATGACTACTTGCACATCTTCATACGATTTTTCTACAATTTATGGTGATTTTTACAAAACTGCCTATCATTTCAAACAGCAATCCGGACCAGTCTGTGATTATGGACTTTTTCACCCAAGTTGGAGGTCATTAAAAATTGTGATAAAAATTATGAGTAAACTAGACACATTTTGTGAACTCTCAGAATTTACGGATCTAGTTTTCGACTTCGTATGATTTTTCTATGATTTTTCCAAAACAGGGTAGAATTGCTAAATTTAGCCAACAACATGTAAATATCATAACACTTTGTAATATGTTGAGCAAAGTGTATAATCATAAGCTCTAATTATTGAATGTGTTTCTTTGTTAGTTTATCATCATGAACTGAAACTAAGTCATTCATAATAAATATATTTCATTCATTTTAGAACACGTATATTAAACTATAAAAAGTATAGTTTGATAAATTCATAACACTAATACATTTCCATAAAAGAATTCATATATATTACATACATTTTAGATAAACTATAATAGGTATAGTTTATGATACATCACTCAACACACTCGTACAAAAAGGGTACATTCATACAAGAAAGATTTATATTCACACACATTTCACGTAAACTTGTTAACCTATATTGTGAGACTCTCTCTCTCTCTCTCTCTCTCTCTCTCTCTCTCCCCGTACGTCCGAGTGCGGGATATAATCCTGGTAGTTATAATCAGAATCTCCTTGAGGGAGAACGTGATACTTGTATATAGATCTATATTGGGTTTGACACCCCACACCTTGCTGCTAGCTACAGTTGGACCTGCAGGTCTACGGGTGACAAATGTCATTTTATTTTTCGCGACACTGAGAACGTCGTGGCAGGTTCACATAGTCATAGTATGATTATAGCGACTCACATAGGGATATAACAATCCATAAGTTTACGGGATTTTATTTTTAAAACCTAAATGAGTTTTATGTCGATTTAAAAATCACTTTTTATCTCTATGAGTACAGATATTACTGTACACTTTTGGTTTTGGTAGTTACGACTACACATCATTTGAAACCACATTTATACTTTTAAGTATGGTCAATACTTGTTATTTCTCGGTCCTCTAATTTAGGACTACATATATATAAGTATTAACGAACATGAGAACATACAGAAATTTCATTTAATTCAAACGCGTCCATGTCCATTTAAGTACATAACATTTTCTAATTAATAAGAAAGGTTACTTATACATTTTGATCTTCAGTCATAAGACTACATTACGCAGATTTTAAAGAAAATATCGGATTTTCTGGATGCATATTGTAACGCTTTTACAAGGAAAACGATTTACTTTTCCAACGAAATTTCTTATGAACTCACCAACCTTTGTGTTGACACTTTTCAAAACTACTTGTATTCTCAGGAATTCAGTGAAAACAGGAAATCAACAACGTTTTGAGGATGGGACGATAAATCGTCAAACAGTTCATTTTGTATTATAATGTAATTGATGGGAATCATGTAAACATGTGCTTTGATGTAACGTTTTCAATTATATTTGTGTTGGTTGTATTTACTTTGAGCACTATTATACTCTTTGTTGTGATACTCTACATGAAGTCCTCCACCCCCGGACGTTTCCGCCATCCTTGGTTTGGGGGTGTGACAACTCCATTGCAAATCGCCACCATAAGACAAACTGCCACCACCTCTGCAGCTCCCTTCCTCCCCATTTTCTTTCCTGTTGATTAATCACCCCAAACACCCTACGATCACTTCGAGTGCTACCCTACATCCACAGCCGACAACAAAAAAGGAATGAAACATAGAAGAGCACCGGAGCAGCCTTATTGCCACCACCATCTTCAGCCCCTCACCACCACCGTTGCCCTGTTCAAGTCATCACCTTCGATTGTTCAACTAACCCACGAAGGTGAAGAACCCCCCTCTTTCATCGCTTGTGTTACAGGACAAAAACAAACCCTCTCACCATTAATGACGGCGAAATCGATCACCGTTTCTGCTACTCTGGAGTGTGTGTCATCTACAACACAGGAAGGAAAAGAGGATTGATCGGGAATCAAACCAATAGCGACTGTCGGTGGTCCTGAGGAGTTCAATCAAGCAATAAGGGTGAAAATCAAGACTTATTGTGGTTATGTTTGGTCTGTCAGTCAAACGAAATGGAATGGGTCTTCGAAAGGGATCGCAAGCAACATCTTCTTTCTTTCTTCTTTTCCTGATTCGTTATGAAGCACGAAGGAGTCGATTTTTCTGGCGGTTCAAGCCTTCAATCGGGGTTGTGGGGGTTGAGAAGGGTAGCAACAGCCAGAGAGGGTGCTTCTGGTGGTGTTTCTCGGCAGAAGGCGGAAGGGAAGGGGATATGGAGGTGGCGGCAGTGGGGAACCGGGAAAACATCACCGGTGATTCTAGTTCTTTGACAGGGGAAGGAGACGAATGGGTGATGGATCATAAGGAAGAGAGAGAGAGAGAGAGAGAGAAAGAGAGAGAGAGAGAGAGAGGTGGGCCCTTTTTATTTTTTTAATTGTTAAAATAAATAAATAAATATTAAAATTTAAAAATAATGAAAGAAAAATGAAAAATAAATACCCCAAGGGTATTATAGTCATTTCAGTTTTTGGAGGGACCATTTTCACATACAAACCACTCCAAAAGGACTACGAAACCAAAAAAGTTACTGTTTGGACTAAAACCCCAAAATTTTGCATACCACAGGGACCATTTTTGCAATTTTGTCAAAAATAAATAAATAAATATAATTATTTAATATTAAACACCTCTCTCTCTCTCTCTCTCTCTCTCTCTCTCGTGAATCAAATCATTCTTCGTTGTCCCCACCATCACATCATTCCTCACCGTTTGTCACCACCAAATTCTACCACCGGTTCCTCTGGTAAACACTCCGATCCACATCCCATCCTTCTTTTCCTCCCTAAATGTTCACCAAGAAACGGGTTCTCCGTTTTAGTCACCGGAGCAGCCAGAAGACGAAATGGGGACAACCCTCCTCCACCCCTCCTCCTGTTGATCGGAAACAACCAAACACCCCTGAGGATCGTTGTTTCCCTCTACAGTTACTTCGTTGTTTCCTTCCCTTCCTCCCTCGTGTTTTTCTAATGGAACAGAGAAGGAACGACCAAGGAGTCCACCGGAGCAACCCCCTTGCTACAACAGTCACCCAACATCATAAGTTGCCTTCATTTTCTTCCTTCATTTTGGCGATTGTCCAAACCCCCCACCGAACTGCCTCTACTTCCATTCTTCTTTCTCCATTCGATCCAGTGTTTCCCATTCCCCTCGATTGGTGATCGCCGACGATGAGAGAAGAGCCAATAGGAGTTTGTCGGAGATCGACTCCCTTCTTGTGATCTATTTAACCATCAGACTACCATTTTGACTGCTTTCATTTGTGTTCCTTCTTCCCTTTCCCGATTAATGAAGAAGATGCGTAAACCAACAAGGGGTTATCGGTCTCAACGGACACCCTTTTCCCTCCTCGTGATTTCCTAACCGCACCGGACCTCCCATCGATTGGCCTTTTGTTCGTCTGTTCCTTGCCCAATCTGATGGATACGATGATTATTCAAGGTCAAAGTTAGTTTGGCTTTTTGGGGAAGATGAAGCTATAAGAATACGTATTGTACAAGTCTCAAAGCAATAGGGGAGAGAGAGAGAGAGAGAGAGAGATCAAATTTCTTTCATTTTTCCTTTTTTTATAAAAAAATAAGATAATAATAGAAAACCTCGTAAATGGTCCCCGGATATTGAAATGACGAAAATACCCCTCACTTAACGGTAGAAAGTTGACGGAGTTAAACGGAAGGACTAAACATTAAAAGTTTTGAAACCACAGGGACCAGCTGTGAGGTTTTTTAAACTTAGGGACTAAACTTGATATTTTCGGAAACCATAAGGAATATTTTTTTACTTTAGGACTAAATATTTTTTTAAACTTAGGGATTAAACTTGATATCTTCATTATTAATTAAACTACAATGAAATTAAATGTAACTATCATAGAATTAAGAGTAAATTACTGAAATCAACCCTGTGGTTTGGTCAAAATTACACGTTTGGTCCCTAACTTTTTTTTTTGCACTCGGATCGTCCCTGTGGTTTGATTTTGTTGCATTTTTCATCCCTATAGTTTGATTTTGTTGCATTTTTCGTCCCTTACATACATAAAGTTAGGGACCAAATGTGCAATTTTTATCAAACCATAGGGACGAAAAACGCAACAAAATCAAACCACATGGACGATCCGAGTGCAAAAAAAAAAGTTAGGGACTAAACGTACAATTTTGACCAAACCACAGGGACGATTTCAATAATTTACTATAGAATTAAATGCAACAAAGGCTATAATTATCATTTCATTTAATAGAACTAAATGCAACACAGATAAATCTCTATCTATTGGTCTGATAATTCCCCGCACTATCATCAAAAAACATCTAATTAATAGTAGGTCTCAGCCAATAAGCAATAATCCAAGATGCTTAGCCCAAACCCAGGGTAAAAGACCATTTTACCATTTTCCTATTTTGGCACAAAGCCAAGGCCCAACTTAATGTCCAAAAGGCCCAAATCCTAAATAATCACCCAAAGCCCAAATATGGCCCAATCTTTCAAATTGGGTTTGAAGCCCATCTTTGCCTAAATTCCAAAGGAACCTAAAACCCAAATCAGAAGTCTAATGGCCCAACAAGACCCAAAAGAAGAAAACCCAACCAATGGCCCAAACTGAGAATGCAAGCCTAAAAAGCCCATTTGTTGAGTATGTGGGACATACTCAGCTTGTACGCTTAGCGTACACCTTCTGGGGCTAGTACACACAGCGTACTCCCCCAGCTTGCCACCCCACTCCATTAAGCATTTAATCCATTGATAATTCAAGCCAAAATCTCATATCTGATTCTATAAGACCACTTACCACGTAAAGTTGGCAACTTTACACATATGCATGGCTTAATGGGGCTCAAGAGCTTAAAAAGAGCTTAATAAGGGTCTTAACACATGCATTGGTCCAAATGCTCCGTAAAGTTGACATTTTTATGAACTTGGGGACTGAAATGAGCTAAGATCTAGCATCCATAGCCTCTGGAATAGATCAAAAGCTCTCCTTTAATACAAAGGAATCAATAGATGCACAAATGTTCCATGAACTAGATCTAGCATAGAAGAGCACAGAGGTGAAAGCTTTTTACCTTAAAAAGCTTGCAAATGTGGAAGCGATCATAGATCTACAAGCTAAATCAACTTCTCCAAGGGGTTCTCTTATTCTTCTTCTTCACCTTAATAGAGCAAAAATCTTTTTATTAAGCTCAAAAACTCACTAACACACTTAGGATTCTGTTCGCTGGGACAAGGGGTGGGAGGCTGGCTAAACATGCCCAAATGAGGCTATCATGAGGTTTAAATATGGTACAAACCCTAAAAATTAAGGTTTGTCTCAGACTCACGTACGTCATGTGTACTCCACGTACGCCTCGCATATGTGGTTAAGTCCTGCGATGTGGCTAGTACTCTAAGTGTACCCATTGAGTACGCCCGACGTACAAACCAAAGGACCAAATTTGAAAGTATTTTGCATTAAGGACCAAATGGGAAAACTTAACAGAACTTAAATGTTACAATTGGTTTGCAAGACATTAGAAATCATGTATCTATTGTAATCGCCCTTGTTCATGGTGGTCATCATGTAGCTATTTCTAAACAAAGAAAGGCTTCAAACAAAAGATTTTGTCAATAGTTTTTTTTCCTAATCAAACCTAATCGAGGGGTGAGGTTGTTGGAGACATCCCTCTCCAAGTCTTTCAAGAGGTAGTTGTAAAATTTGTGATCTTTGATTCAATCTTGGTGGATAACTGATTATTGTTTTCGATGTGTTTATTGCTTATATATAATGGTCATCAAGATTCTACAATGATTTGGTAGTCCAACGTGAAATATATGGAAATTGATATTGTAACGCCCAGATCCTGGCATGTATTTTTTTAATTAAGACATTCATTTTTGCAAAGTGACTCGACGAGTCGGAGGCCCCAGACTCGTCAAGTAGGAACAAATGATTGGATGCGGGAAGTGAAGCCTACTCGACAAGTCGAGAGCCTCGACTCGACGAGTAGGGCTGCCATAGTGAAACCCTAACTTTAAGGGCTTACACCCTATTTAAACACTTTAATTGGCCTCAACTTCGGCCTTCATCACTTCCAAACCTTAGTCATGAAACCCTAGCCCATTTTGAGTGTTCTTGAGCCATTATTGTGTGTTCTTGGTGATTTTGAAGCTTGAGAAGGAAGACAAAGCTTGGGGGTTCTAGAGGAAGCAAGTAGATCCAGAGTTTGTGCTGCAATTCTGACTCATTTGAGGTATAAAGCCCATACCTTGACTACTCATTTACTAGATCTCTTCATAAGGTAGTTTAGGGCCATTTGGAGCATATTATGGAACCATTGCATCCATGTTTTGGGGTCATGACTTCAGATCCAACGTCTTTGAGGGACCCCATGGCATAAAGGTGCCAACTTTATGGCCATAGGAGTCCCATGCATCATATAAACAACTTTTTAGGGTTTTTTAAGCTAAATAACCCATGACATGAACGTAAAGTTTGTAACTTTACGTGTTATATCGACCCTAGCAGGCCAGATCTATGTTTTGGATGTATTAAGCCCGACTAGAAACGACAGGACAAATTTGGACTTTGGGGGACTCGACGATTCGTTCATACGACTTGGCGAGTTGGGTTGTGATCCCCCAACCTTTGATGTTACTGAGCAAACTCGTTGAGTCTAGAAGATGACTCAGCGAGTTGGACATGTTTATGGACTTGAAGATCAAAGAACTCAACAAGTCCAAGGATGAACTCGACGAGTTGAGAGCAAAATTTCCCGATTGTCGTATGAGGAGGAACTCGACGAGTCCAAGGATAAACTCAACGAGTTGAGAGTAAAATGTCCCGACTGATATGAAGAGGAACTCGACAAGTTCATGGAAGAACTCGACGAGTAAGATCGAGACTCCAGAGTTTTATGGATATGGGCACTCTACGAGTTGATGGACCAACTCAGCGAGTTGAGTCAACAAGAATGATGACTTGTACCCAAAGGTTAACTTTAACCAGAGTGTTGACCTTTGACTTGACCATTGACCAGATTTGACCCTTAAAGGGGTTTTGAGTATGAAAGAGTAATTAAAAGAGATGTTATGTGTAGGAGTTTGAGGAGAGTTTATCCCAGAGCCGAGGACAGTTCAGCTACTTCACGATATTGACGTGAGTTACCACCCAATATAAGTAGGTCTAAGGCACCAAGGTCGGCCCACTGGTTGGTGATTATAGTTGAGATGATTGTCTTTGTGATAATTGTCTGGTATGCCACTATCTATTATGCTTTATGTGCTAGTATGATATGTGATT